ACAGTGTTTGCGAGCAATTCGCTGAACTGTTCAAAAGCGCTCTATCTAGTTTTGCTGTTNCAACTCAACGATCCGTTTTATCCGCTAAAAATCTGTAAAAGTTAAATTCGGATTTCGGATCCGGCGAGTGATGACTCCACAGTGTTTGCGAGCAATTCGCTGAACTGTTCAAAAGCACGCCATCTGGTTTTGCTGTTGTATTCACAGTACATGCATCCATCACCGTGAAATATTTCCTAATTAAACTCTTGTTCAAATCGCGACCATCTGACGGGAATGTGACAAAATTGACTGAAGCTAAATGTGTTCTTGCCGTCTTTGCTTTGTGGTTGTTCCCAGCAGAAACAGGTGGTCCTCCCAAAACAGCTGCTGCCCAAATATTCAACTGCCATTCACCAATCGATGGCGTAAGCGTTTCGTTGGCTAGCAGAGTGACAATTTGCGATCCATAAATGGAATCATACGATGGAACGGTTGACGCTTTGACGAGTCGACCCAACGGATCGGTCCATTCGGCATCAACGAAAGGACTCGAGAAATTCGCAGAAACTGTTGTCGGTTGATCTTCGACACGCTGCCAACTCAATTTTGCCGTTATCGCATCATCCTGCAATATTCAATAACAATTCACAAATCGTTATCACACTAAAAACGATTCTGTTGTTTTCATAAAACAATATGTTAAAAACTGTGTAAAACTTTGGTGACTTCAGAAGTTTTAAAAGTGATCATATTTCACTCACTTCAATCACATTCCTTGCATATTGTATTGATGCGAACACAAAATCAATATTAACATCATCTCGAAGAGTTTCACATCGCACAAATTATTATTATTATTTCAAACAACTATTATTAAGTGAATTGATCTTATTATTAAGCGTATTGAAGATATTATCAAAGTGTAACGAATACGATACTGAAGTGACCTGTGAGAAAACAGACGCATAGTTCCGATACACCTCTTGTTTCAATTCCAAATCAGTGCCCACTTTCAAGTCGACGAGTCGATAGCCATCAACGATCGCATCGTTGTTTAGCAGAACGATATCACTTTTTGGTGATACTAACAATTCAATGACCATTGTTGAGTGTTCATCAGCACTGCCACACAGCACCTCGCAATCCACAATCGTTCTCACGTCACCATCATCACTTTCTTTGTACAAATGAAGTTCAATCAAATCCACAAATTCACATCCGCCCATCGATGCCGCCGTTTCGTGTGATTTCAAACTGAATATAGTTTCCGCCCATGCATGCAACAACACTGAAAAGAAGGCCATTAGATGAATTGTTCGAAATCTGGACGGCTGCAGATCCTAAATGGTTTAGCGTAGTTGCAT